GAACAGCTAGGTTGGAGTTCTAACCTTTGTGTGTGTTTCCAGGTTCCACTTTGCCAAAATAAAAGATAATAAACATGAACGCTTGGAACATATTCTTCATCCAAATACTTCTTTTAAAAACACAGCTACTGTACAATAAAGTAGCAGGGCCATGAAAGAATACAAACATGTGCCCTGAAGTTGTTATTATCAGTTAACCTACTGATTATTTTCTTGATTAACCAGTTAATCATTTGGTTTACTGAATATCAGAAAAATGCCCAACAACGAATTTCCAAAATTTGACTCGTCTGTGATTTGTTTTACATTCCTAATTATTTAATCAGTGAAATGTAGTGCAGAAGTTAACGCTGTCCGTGGTATTTAGCAATGTTTGCTGGCTAATTCACATACATCAGCAGCTGTCAAAATCCCACATTTAAAGTGCAACTTGCAGGTAAAATTTCTTACAGGGATCATTTGAGAAGTAACTGCTTTTAAAAAAAATCTTTTATGAGACATAATGGCAGAATTTCAGAGGATAAAGTAGGTTCTGGGTAGTTCTGAGCAGTGTTTTGAAGCATTGTGAAGAAATTACATCACAAAGGGAAGTCAGCGCACTGTGCAGGAGCAGATGGCGATGAATCCAAGTGGATAAAGTTAAGTTAGCTGATATTTGTTGCTAGTTTTACCAGTTTTACCATTTTTCAAAATGGTGAATTGATTTGAGTGTGTACACGTGTGCAGCATCAGTTTCTTGTGCTGTTGTCATACTCGCGTTCAGCTTGAGAAAAACATGAAATGTGCACTGTATGTCTTGTTTTTTTAAGACTTGCTAGCTTCCAAATTTATAAGCATCATGATTTAAATCATGAGAAGCAACACGTGCTAAGCACTCAGCGTTGTCAGACAGCATAGCTACCATGTACGACTCACCAGGTTGTCACCGATTGTCATGTCAAATCCTTGTCTGCTTGACACCCAGCAGGCTTATAATTAAGAATCTGTGGATTGTTATTATACATTAAACACTGTCAATAGAGGTGTACTGCTATTTACTGAAGTACCAGGGTGTGCACATGTGTACATGCACGGTGAAGCTGTAGCTCTTTTCGAGGGCCATTTAAACACTTTTCCTACCATAGCAATTTTATATGAATTACAGTTATAAGCGAGCTCATCAACTGTTAACTGCCCATATGATCAAATGTTAGACCAACCTTACTCTCTGCAGAAAAACTGTGTGGATTTGTAGCCATTTGCTGCACGGTGAATGTTATAGTCATAGATAATTTTATTATTAGGTCGTAATCCCCACAGGAAACCAGCTAGGGGAAATGTCCCACCCAAAATCCTCCTAAAGCTGTAAGAAAACGTGTTTTCCTCTAAGAAGTGTTAAACCAACTTCTAAATGTACTGATTGTTCACTGAGCTCCTCCTGCTTCATGTTGGTTAACAGGTCAACCAGCAGCAGTGAGCGCATCAGCTGTGCACGGGGCTCACACCTGTCAGTATGTGCCAAAGTTTAGCCATTCTGTGTCCTGCTTGTGTCATATCTTCAAGTGCTCACAAAAATATAACATTATGGATTTCAATCAGATTATGCAAATATTATTTTTCCTCTCTTGGAGAAAAAAGTGGAAGAG